CCATAATTATTAGATTTCTTTACAGCAATATAAATATATATATATGTTTTTTAATCAATTCCTTAAACAGCATTTAAAAAACACCAAAAGCTCATACATGTTAATGTTTGCTTATTGTGTTATTCTTTGTTATGAAATTATTTGTATAATTATATAATTTCTATTTTTTTTAATGATAACTAAATATCCATTTAAAGATAAAGATATAACAGAAGACCACAAATAGGGTCACATCCACAGGAATACAATCAATGAAAAAACAAGAAAATAACAGCCAGGAAAAAATATTAGAGTTTGATAGGCAAAAACGAAAAATTTTGGACTCAGAACAATACCTAGTTGCCATGGAGGGGCTATCCAAGGAGGACAGACAAAACATCCAAACCGAGAAGCAACCAAAAAACGAGCCACCAAAGTTGCCAACCAACTCTGGTCATCCAAGGCGCAACAGCAAAACTGCTTTGTCATCGTTCATACTATTAAATATATCCAACATCGCAATCAAAGCAACGAAATCTGGAATAGAAGCAATCTTCCAAAATAAAAAAGTCAAAACACATCAAAAATAAGAAAGTCATTACTTTTTAGTTTTCCGTTTATGTTGCCACACAGAATTATCGAGCGAGCCCGTTTCCAGGTTATTATCAATAAAATCTTCTCCACTATCCACCGCTATGTCATCATGCAACTAATCACATTGCCACCAAACAAAATTTCTAGCAACACGGGATACCAAATTAGCATTTGAAATGACAGAAATAGGCGCATCCACTAGTTGCATCACAACACTTGCCTCCTCAACAACAGCTAAAGCTTCATCACCACTATCAACTAAAGAAGCAGAATTTTTAACAGACAACTCCGAAACCACCACCATAAATAGGACTATCATTAAGATTAACAAAACAATTTATATCATTCACAAACACAATGACATGGGGCACATTTGGAGAACAACACAATGCACAGCACCATAAACCACCAAATCCCCATTAATACAAGCAGCAGAGGAGAGATTAGGGCAAGAAACACCCACATCACTGACATTAACAAACTGAATAGGGAATTCCAACACAACAATCGAATCAACCAAAACAACATGAGAAACATCAGCATTAGAATGTGTAGTAAATCCAATCTGATCAACACCCTCAACCCCAATATCGGCCAGATACAATGACTGACCTACAAGATTAGTAATAACCAAATCACCCTGAATATACCAATGATCAACAGGATCACAAACAACATTAGCTAAAGCAACGATACCATTATCCGATACAGCAGGACCCGCATGAGGCAAAGAAACAAGTAAATCACTAACCTAACCAGCTGGAGAAACAACCTCCTATGGAACACGAGGCAACTGGGATGAAAAAGTGGGCATTCATGCTTCCAATGGCCCAAAGACTTACAGTGAGAACAATAAATGGAAAATGCTCCATCACAACCGTGTAGATATAACCCAAGTCCTTGGATCCAACCCAAACCTTATCAGGAAAAACTTTGGTAACATCCAATTCCACCAAGAGACGCGCAATCGACGGCTGCCTACTAGAGGAGGTAGCCTGATCAATTTTCAAGGATCTATCGAACATGAAACCAAGTCTATGGAGAATCCTAGGGGCAAAATAGATGAGATCTTAGATTAGGAAAAGAAACCCAAATAGGGATAATTGGCAATTCAATTTCAACATCAAAGGTAGGAGATCACTTGAAAAGTTTCATGGAACAATTGTTCACAAAGTATGAGCGATGAGAAAAAATACGGCAATAGTCCAAATCATTCACAAGCTTGACAAGCTAGAACATGCTTGGGGTTAAGGACAGTGACCGAGAATTCACAGTTGAGATTAAAGTTAAAGAAAAATATGTGAATAGCCTCAAGCGAAGGCCTACGAGACGAAAATTTACTCACTAACGCAAACTCAAAGGGAGCTGCAAGTGCCAAAACTTCCTCATCCAAAATTCACAGCAACGACATCCAACGAAAAGAGGTAATTTTGATGTCTAGAAAATTATAGATATAACAAGAAGAAGAACCTGATAAAGCCTCACGAAAAGATCGAGAAGAGGGATTGTCCGCCAAGAAGTCGGGATCCCGAAGATGTTTGCCTTCCATCGAAAAGCAAACAAAAAACAACAAAACCATAAGAGATTAGAGCACGAAACTTCCCTAAGAAGTTCGGAGAGCATGGATGCAACGACAAAGAGAGCAGTGTCATCCAAAAACCCTAGTAGTGACTAGTGCACATCTTAGAAAGTGAAAACTTATATAATTTCTATTCATATTCTATAGAGGTTGTTGAATTTTGTCTTAATCGTAATTGCTTGAATATTTTGTTTGGCTTTTGTGGGAATTAATGGTTTATTTTGGCTTATATTTTTAGAATTTAAGTTGCATCGAATAACAGTAAGTGTTAGATGCAGCTGTGTACATATGAGAAGGATTTAGCATAAACATATTGCTAAAGTTAATAAGTACTTGTAATTGTAAATTAAAAGTAAAAACAAACTATCATGAAATGAAGTGTGAATTCTACACTAAGAAATTCACAAATAAAAATTGAAAGAATTTGTATAGATTTATCTCACTCTCTTATTGTCTCTCTTTACTTATGCACCGTTCTACAAGTAAACTAACAAAGAGACACAAATTAAAGCATACAAGGAGGGGCAATCCTTCAAGTTAAACATGAAAAATGAGAAGGAAAATCTCCCAACCCAACTCGCATTGACGTCGTGTTGAGTTCGGAGCCCCTTAGTGCTCGACTCTGATGTGGGGATTGTCGGAAGAAACAAATTATCTTGAAGGGATTCCCAATCAAGGGACAAGCACATAGCTTAAAAGCTTCAAAATAACATAATATTCATATACTCCCCTCCTTACAATACCCTACTTATATAAGTTGCTAAGAACTTTCTAGAAATCATGTAACAATCATATAACAAACTATAATAAGTTAGTCCTAAGAAAAACTTAAGCTATGATGTTCTACATCAGACTCCCCTACTGTCTAAAGAAGTCGACTCCGCCGAGATAAGTATAGAGAACATAAGCAATCCTCCTGGATCAAAGACTTTGTGTTTTCGATGAATGCCATTACTGGCAAATTTTACCGATCTATCTGTAGACCAAGTGAGATGGTTATGGGAAACATCAAGCAAAGTGGCAAGTGAATTTGGAATGATGCTGACGAGATTATTGTTGTTTAAGATTACCTTTCTCAGCCAAGGTATATTGGCAAACTCCATAGCAAAAAATCACTTAAGAAGTTGGTTTGTGAAATTAAGGATCATAATGTACACCTGCAGACTACAATTCATACCAACCATCCATTTTTTGTGAACTCTTTCACCAATGATATTGCACTTGCAATGAGGTGACAATAATAATTCAACATAAGGGAGCTCATCTATAATGATAGCAACACTATCTTTATTTTATCCCAAACAAAGGGCTCTTGCAAAATCTTCTGGTTGTACAAGACCGCAATGGATGCCTATAATGATCTTAAATCTTGTTTCGCAATTCAATTTTGATTGATCAGTTGGATTAAATAAAATATTTCACAACACTTGTCTTAGAAAGACAATCCATCAATTCACCATCTTCCAAGCAACAACCCAACACTCTAAAAAGGTTTTTGTGCTCAAGATTGGAAACCTAAGCAACCTCATTCTTCTTTCCTACAAATCCTTGTATTGAAGATCTTGAAGGTCGTTTTACAACTATCAGTTGTCAATCTTCTAGTAAATCCTTATAAACTGGCCCAACAAATTTGGGGTCAGATCCTTCAGTGACATTTCGACGAATGGCTTGGGAGCATTGCGCTAGATCGATTTTGCCAGTAGTATTCCGATCGTGCATTTGCACACCTGCAGTATAAACATCCCCATTACCACTTCCAATTACAAAAACATCTTGGTCCTTGCTCCCATTCTCACCGTTCTTAGAAGTTTTAATCTTAAGCTTCATTAAGTCCGAGGTAACTGGGAAATCGAGGAAAATGATAAATCATTAGAACACATGATTGTGGTATGATTTATGCTAACTTTTGTCTCCATAAAGCTTCCAAGCAAATAAGCATTTGTGTTTACCTTATGGCAGTCCAGGATACCAGATTTCTCATTATTGTTCTTATTGTTTATGTCAGATTTTTCACAAAATAAATCATCATAAGAAGAGCAAGAAAAATCCTTACTTAATTGGGTACTTTTTCTTCCCTCCATTCTCGTGCACAAAAAATTCAGAATGTGACATCCTACTTTTATCTTCAACATATATCATTGAATTGAATGAATCGATATCATATCCCAATGGTGAGATATGGTAAAAATTTTCATCTTTCTTGCCTTTTCTCCCAAAAGAAAATGCCATCTTATCATAAAATACATTAACTCCACCGATAGAGCTATCTGAACTAGCCGTCTATATTCCTGTTTCAACACTCACGGATTTAGTAGAGTTTGCACAACTTAAGATTTGCCCACTCGAGAGCTATAAAGAATTACTACTTGTTGTCCTTGTTTTTCGCACTTAGGCCCTTGAACGTGCGTATTCTACGTCAATTGAGCAAAATTTGAATCTAAGTAGACTCGATCATGCTCGATCAATTTGATTGAACCCTATTCAACCTAATTTGAGCCAGATTAGTGACAATCTGGATTTAATTTCACAAAATTTTATTTAATCGAACCAAATTAACTACAAATCGACTCAAATTGACCCAAGCTAGGTTCAATTCAGGCTCAATTTGAGACCCAAATGAGTCTAATTGATTTAGGTTAAAGGCTAATTTACTTTTCATTTAATTCAAATCAACTGAGTAGATCAGGAAATTGATCTAACGGCTGAGATTTAAAGCCTTGACCATTGCTTTCTCATATCACCCATCTGATTTATTCAGTTGCAGCAGAGATTTGGCGGCAGAACGAAATCAAATCACAGGTTCTGGCTTCCTTATTCGGCAAGCGGCTCTGACGTTGGACTGGACCTACGCCGAAGACTTAATGCAGTTTTCCTTCTTCCTCCGGATCTAAAGACCGCGAGAGGTCTCTCAGATCCAGAAGAAGCCTCGATCGGGGCACTTATTTTTTTCTCGCACTCCAGATCTCCTTCACGCCAGGACGAGGCCGGCCTTCCTCTCTCGTTTTTTTTCTCTCTGCTATTTGGACACAAAGAGGACGGAACTCCCTAACCCCCGGCTTCGGCTCTCTCATTCGCGAATCCAGGAGAAAGAACGAAGCTTCCGCCTCCCTCCCTCTCCTTGTCGTCTCTGGTTCGCGAGATACCCGACGCCGGACCACCTCTGCCTCCCACGTTTGAAACCGCCGGTCTCTCTCCGTTGGCAAGGTGAGCTCCTACCCTTCCTTTTCTTATCCTACTCCCTCTTCTTCCTTCTTCTTATTATTCTTTTCCCCTTCTTCTTCTTATCCTTACAAACTTTATTTTTCTTATACGATTGATAACTTCCCCACTCTCATAACCTATAAGAGGAAACTCTTCTCTCGAATTCATGACAAAGGTAGAGACGAACAGCTTATAATTCTACCGAGTTTTTGCAAAGTGGTATAGAGGTAACAGCTTTTCGGCCTACACTTTATTTGCTGCAAGATCACTTAAGCTCTCCCTGGAAAAATTTTGAAATGTGCTTCAGCTCGAAATGTTCATCTCCGGAAGCTCTTTTGAGTCCCTTAGGAATGTGATGAGTGGAACCGACCGCTCGCTGCCTTTCCTTCTGGACGGCCTCGTCGTACTCCCAGATTGTGGTCACTCAATTGGCCTGGCATCATCCTGCACCCTACAGAATGTCCTCGTGGTCTTGTCCGATGGCAACTGCGGGAACTTCCTGTGGCTTCCTTCGGGCACATGAGCTTTTCTTATGACTTACTCTTTGCCTGGAGTTGTCGGTTCGAGCCACACCTGAATCCGGACCGCCTCGCGTTCTTTTGTGTTTGTTCTGTTGTCTTTTTTATATATTTTGTTACATCTTTCAATTTATTTTATAAAGTTTTTTTTTGTTCTTTGTAACCTCTTTTATTAATATACCAGCTTTGCCTAAAAAATTTCCAAAAAAAAAACAGCTTTTAGGCCTTTGTTAGAAAGCAGTTGCCTGATTTTTTTAACATTTAGATCAGTTAAATCAGACTCATACATACACATATATAAGACTTGAATTCATGAGCGGCGTAGCAGTTCTCTGTTAATGTGGAGAGATTAGATAGCAGTTCTCTGTTAATGTGGAGAGATTAGTATGCTTTACAGATGTAAGGTCTAGATAAGTTTTGATGATTTCTATCCAACGGTTTTAACTTGAGTGGAGAACGTGGCTGCTGCTTCTTTCTATGCAGATGTGGTGGCTGCCCTTGTTGTGGTTGCAGGAATCGGCAGCTCCACTTTGATATATAGAGTGGCAATCACTGTTTTTTTTTTTGGGAAAAAAAATATCGAGGAGATCATTAGCCTTTAGGCATACAAACTTATCCTTATATAGATATTGCATGAATTCGTGTATTTAGCTACATAATCATAGGTTCATAGGTCTCCAGATTTAGGCTGGAGAGGTCTATAATATTCATTAATAATGACCAGCCGCATTGAAATTAACTATGCTTTGTATTTCATTGGTTGTATTTTGAATTATTAGTTTATTTCGTAGCTTACCAGGTGATGCAGCAACCTTCCTGCAAGGAAAAGGCAAAAGCAGGAGAAGCAATGGAACAGGAAAAGAGTTCTGTAAAGGTTTTTTTTATATATTTTTATATGCTTCTATCTCTTGTAAAAGGTATATGTATCCTCAGTCCTAGTTCTGCTAATTACTGAAACTAGGATAAAGAAATAAAATGTGAAGTAAAACGGCTAAAACAGAAATAGAATATAACGGTGCAAGCAACACAGATATACAAGCCACTTTATTGCGCACTCACCTCACCTCCAGGCCACGCTTAACAGCGACATCATCTGATATGCCGATATACTCTGGCTGGAACGTTTTACTTCTCCTCCACTTGCAGACAATGACATCAACAGCAACCTCTCCTTCTCTTCCATCTATATGTAACGAAGAAGAATCACTGTAGTGGATGGTAATTTTGAAATGAAATGAAAAGTTTTGCTCTTACTGCCTCATCTTCTTCTTCTCTGTTTTTGCCAAGCTCAAACCTGAAGGAATAGTTGAATCTCAACAAGTAGCAATCGCGGTAGAATCACTCGCGGAAGTTGTTGTCGTGATCAGGTTGTAGTCCGCATCACGAGGAGGAATAAAGATGCAGGAAACGAAAGTAAATGATTAAATTCTACTTCCTCTGATAGCTGCTTGCTTTTTTAACCCGTTGATGAGTAGAAAGTCAATGTTACTTCCTTCTCCAGGTTCTGTCTTTTGATGCTGTGATGGAAGGGAAGCAGAAGGTAGGAGGGAAGATGGTAGTGAAAGCGAAGTGGTACTGTGGAGGAAGAGAAGCGAAGTGGTATTGTGGAGGAAGAGAAGCGAAGTGAAGGAATGTCCTGCTCCATTGTTCACTCACAAGGAGCTCTGTAGTGATCTTGGCATGTATCTACATAAATAAGCTTGTTCTGACTTCTGATACGAATGCATGAGAGTTTTTCTGTTAAAATTAGTGATTCTTTTTTTACTTTTTTTTTTATTTGGGAAGGGTTCCGTTGATAGGAGGATCTTAACTTGCATTTGCTTTATGTTGAGGTGACTCAAAGAGGACTTGAAAAGATAATCAAGCTAAAGTTTGCTTTTTGTTTGATAAAAATATTTCCTTTTGTTATAAGACTGATTAAAGAAGATAAATGATGATATTGTAGAAGAGATTGAGGGAGGTATTAGCGATTTTCAGCTTTCCACCAATGAACGCTTCCTTTGTGTGGAGGAAGTATTAGTTGAGTCTTCTTCATCATTTTGAACAGGTTTATTTCTTTGGAGTGCGGGGTCTCTTTTGCCCCCGGTTGGTGGGTGTAAATGTAAATTAAAATTTTATTTTCTAATAATTTTTTTGCTTTCGTAATTTATGAAAATGTGTGATTGCAGAGGCATTGAAAACCAGGACTCAGTTGTGTAAATTTTATGACACAGCGCGGTCAGATTCCGGTGATTTTCAACTTTCCACCAATGAACGCTTCCTTTGTGTGGAGGAAGTATTATTTGAGTCTTCTTCATCATTTTGAACAGGTTTATTTCTTTGGAGTGCGGGGTCTCTTTTGCCCCCGGCTGGTGGGTGTAAATGTAAATTAAAATTTTATTTTCTAATAATTTTTTTGCTTTCGTAATTTATGAAAATGTGTGATTGCAGAGGCATTGAAAACAAGGACTCAGTTGTGTAAATTTTATGACACAGCGCGGTCAGATTCCGGCCCAAAGATGAGGAGAAAGAGGGCATTTCGTCTGGTGATTATATAATATTATATTAAAGCAACAAATTGTTTCAACAATACATAACACAAGACTCGAATCTAAGGCCTCTTAAGTGAGAGCCAAACTCCTATCCAACAAACCAAGGAGAGCTGCATGCATGATTTTAACTTATTGTTGTTTAAACTTGAATGTATAATTAATTTATTTGAATTTAGCATTGCTCAAAATGAAGGGATATTTTGGCTTCATAGTTCCTCATAAGACCTTACCTTGTTTTTCAGGTTTTTCTTGGATACAAGTTTGATCAAGTCTTATTTGAATTTAAGAAAAAAATTTGTCTAGAACTTCGTGAGTCCTATAATTTTTTTTTAATTCTTTTTTCAGTATTATAACCTCTACATGACGATGTTTAATCTTTAATCATATTTGAAGTATTGGATTGGCTCAAACAATACTTATGTTTCGTAGTTATGGAATTTGTTGTTAAAGTTGTAGTGTGGGTAACAAATTGCATAATTGCGCGTACAAATTTTATTGAATATTACCATTTATTATGGATTCCGGATTCGTTATATTGATGTCAAAATATGAAATTTGAGAAAGGGTAGAGAAAAGCATTGGTTAGGAGATATTTTAAGGTGAGAGAATGGTTGGATTTTCATGCCTTCTTTTTAATACATCGACTAAGTTAGACAAAATGTACATATATCACTTGAGGATTAATTGAGGATAAATTTTCTGTCTCTTATATTTGTTGATGATTTTGAAGGAAAAATGTTCATAGTTGTGAACAATCACTCTTGGTGGGGCTTTAGATTATGAATAATTTAGTGATATCTTTTTATTTAATATTCATCCTTCCTACTCCTCTCACCTTTTTTGCAGTCATTATGTGTGTTATAAAATGCAAATCATGTTTATGAGTTTGAAAGGAAAATTCATAGATCAAGAAAAAATAAATAAATTAAAACGATGGAGGTTTAACAGACTTTATAAATGATTGGACATGCTTTAAAAATCGTTGAAGTTAACGACAGTGTTTAATATAATATTTATGCAATGCGTTTTGCTAACTTCTATTGAAAATGATTGTCATTTTTTTATGTGATTCTTATTTAATTTAATATTTTAGCCTTTATCTACTATTTTTTTTAAACAACAAACACAACCTATATTTTTTGTTGCTTCGTAGCTTAGAATTAAACAACGAAGTGTTAATTGGAGCATGAACTTGCGGTATTAAAATTTCAATTTTTTTTAGTGAGTAATGGTAGTTTAGTTATGAGTTTCATCTGACTTAAAATGCAAATATTTTTTTTTTTAAATAAAACTTTTATATTAAAATTGATAAAACGAGGTTACAACAGTTGAAGAAGGGAAATCAGACAGCAAAGAAAACCAATAACAAGAAACAGACACAATAAAAACCCCCAAAGAGGGCTTAGTAGAATGCCGAGACTGCCAGCGTCCACGAAAGCACCAGGACCGTCCAGCAAAGGTGGAAATCACCAAAGGTTGCCACAAAGAAGCCAACGCAGACATGAGCCCCAGCAACATCATCGCCCCGCAACCTTCAATCCAAACCATGATCAAAATAGAATAACCGAAAGAGCCAAACAAGGATGAAAGCGAATTATCTTCTTCTGCCACCTCTCTTCCAGAATTTTCCACGAGAGGCTACCTTAAGAGGTACATCACGGTTCAATTTAAATTCATTACCCGGATCTGAATAGGACTCAGAATCAGATCCAAAGTCAGACGAATTGTGCAACCAATCACCCTGAGATTTAATATCAAGTCCAGAAGTACCACTCACTGTTACAGGAACATTAACCAAATTATCCAAAATTTCTTGCACACCTGAATTAACAACCAAGCCACACACATTTGATTCCACATTACCAACACTAACCATCGGCCTACCACAATCCTCAACAACACCCAAAACAGGCGAAACCTCAGCCCCCCTTCCACACTCGGGAGGAGGAATCGCAACATTAACAGGAACAGAAACCACCTCCGGCACCAGTACAACATCCGAAATCTCCTCAATCACATCTTTAGGACCCAAACCCTTCACCACACTAGAAGGAATAAAAGGACTAGCATTATGAGACAAAGTAATATCAGCAGCCACCAACATAAAGACACCAGCATCTCCTCCTTGTATTATCCTGCTCAAAGTGGGATAAATGAAATATCAAAAATATAGGAGAAACACAATCTAATTGATGAAATCCATGGAC